CATTTGAAGATTGGTACGATGTTGTGTTGAGAACAGTGCCTACCATCTGCTTTTGCAAGCATGTAGTTTATACAGATGTGTTTTACATTGTCTCTTTCGATGTTCTATTTTGTCTTTAATGTTAACTTTCAAATCTAAAACCTGTTCATTTTTATCATAATTCCAGCATAACAATTTTTTTCTTTCTTCAGGAAATCACAAATTGACACAAACAGCAAAAGTCATCATCAAAATCTGTGAGCATGAGGTATGTGTGCCCCAATTAACTTAATTGTTCTGTATTTTCAAAGTGTTCTATTTCATGTATTCATGAGTGAAATAATAGATGTTTTCTAACGCGTGTGTTGCATAACTATACTTTTTGTAGACTTTCTTACATTTAGATATGCATATCCATGGCCTTTTTGACAAGGGCATTGCTAATGTGTCTTCCATTTGGATAGTCACTATCTATAATTAAGACTTGCGAGGTGGGAGAATAAAGTGGACATATGGATTCTGCACAAAGAATCTTCTAAATGAATATTTTGAGTTGGAAAAAGACCCACATCATCTGATTCATAGATGCATTTTTTGGTGGTTCTTTTCCTGTAACAGTATGGAATTTCTCTGAATAAATGCAAAAATGACTGCATGCGTTCTTGACTGATCATTTGCAGTGATTTTATTTCAGTGGCAATCCATAATGTGGCCAGACTATTTCTGATACAAACCAGAATGTTATTAGCCTCTTGGCCATCTGGGGAATGTTGATTTAGGACCACAAATTTGTGGAAAATGATGCTAGCGAACTAGACAGGTTAACACAATAATACTGATCAAACTTCAGACTCAGTTTAAGCTCTCCAATAACAGTTTGCTTTTTCTTTTCAGATGAATGAAATTGAAGTATGTCCGGAATGTTATTTAGCTGCTTGCCAAAAACGAGAAAATTGGTTTTGTGAGCCTTGTGTAAGTTAAGGATTGTGGTAGTCTAGTAATACATTACACTAGCAGTTCTCGTTTGACTGTTGCTTGTTATCCCTCTGTTGTTTTAAACCTGCGGTGGTCACTGAGTTGAGGAGAGCTGCTGTAGTTTACCAAGTAGCTTGTGCATCATGCTCTTTGTGGACTCAGACTATCTCAAGATTTTTAGCTATAAGATTGCATGCTGTCACAAAACATTGGTTCAGCCAGAAATAACTGTGAAGGGTGTCAGCAACCAGTCTGTAGGTTCTCTATTCTCAAATATAAGACACCTGCTCCTGGGTCGTCTGTGCCTGCATGTGGTGCTTGCATTCAGAGTAGGGTTTCTGAAGTGTGAATGTCTCTTTCTGCAGGTCTGGATCTGAGGATTTAGACTTGGTTTTTCTTTCATGACCTATTAATAGATGGTCCGATTTCTGGTTTTGTTTAATATTGCACCAAGCTTGGGAAGAATTCTTAAGATTCTTCAGTAAAAGTGTATAATCCATCAAGTTCTCTACTGGGCTTAAGTGAAAATTAGAGAATTTGAAAGATTTGCCCTAGCCTAACTTACTTTATGCTACATATTCAGAGGGGAATAATAAAAAATAAATTATTTTTTATAAATAAATAAATGCACTTTGTAAATAAAAGTGCAATTATGACATGTTTAATTGAGATACTTGAGGTTTTGTGGTGTTTTTAAAAGTAATTTTACTGTTTTGTCCTCTCAGGATTTATTTTGCATCTATCAAGTATACAGTAAAATGGAATCGTTTATTTGGCAAGTGCCTTGTGCATGTTGGATCTTTATTGAATCTAAGTAACACGTACAATTAAAAAAAAAAAAGTTGTTTATCAGATTTGAAGATAATACTGCTTGTATTCCTTACTGTGCATTTTGCTTCCTCCTGTAGAGCAATCCCCACCCTTTGGTCTGGGCTAAACTCAAAGGCTTTCCATTCTGGCCTGCTAAAGCACTGAGGGATAAAGACGGGCAAGTTGATGCCCGTTTCTTTGGCCAGCACGACAGGTGGGAATTCAACCAAAGGATGTCTTTGGCTGTACTTACGAAACTCTTGTTGTAATTTTGTGCTCTTCGAGTTTTTTGAGCCTAATAAACTGTATAATACCGTAGCATATATATACAGTTTCAGTTTCTTACATGATGTCTGCAGAATGTAAGTCTTGTGTTTGTAAGATGAATACATACATAATCTCAGTGAGTATGCAAGTTAATTCCCATGTCTGGTTTTGTGCTGCAGAGAACTGTAGTTCTCAAAGGTAGAAGGGGCCAATAAAGTTCTTTGTTGTTTAAACACCATGGGAATAAACACACAATTGTAGATTTAAAAAATACAGAAAATAGAATCTGGTTGAAAATGTCAGTTTTTTCATTCCTCTGAAAGGAATTAAGTTTTCTGCACTTGTGAACGCTCTGCTTTGATGGAAAAAGCAATGATGAATACGAGTTGATTTTTCCTTAATTGAAAATATAAATCTATACAGTTATAAAACCACGTACTGTAAAAAAATGGCACAACTGTATAGGGCCATGAAATAATTAAATCAAAGTTCCTGGTGTTTTAGTATCTTGGAAGGCACGGTTTTAGTCTGCTGCATTTCATGATAAATAAAATCTGTCCAATACTTGTTGACAGAACTTTTCCTGGCATTAAGGAGTTGAATCTCCCTGACATGGAGTGTAAAATGTTTTTAAGAGCGTGCATGTGGAGTCTTTTTTTCCTGACCTGCTTTTTATGTTTTTCTGCTAACTATGACAGATGGACAGACTGTTTAGCAATGGTCATCCTACAGCTACACAGACAATTCTAATTAGGAATATTTTGTTATATTTGACCAGTGTTTATTAATGTTTTATGCGTTACTGGGTAGAGTAAAATAAACTAATGATTATCTAAGACTTGCAATTTACTTTCTTACCAAAACTAAGCACTAAACTATTAAAAGAAGAAGGTAGAGATGGTCCATTGAAATGATCCGAGGTGTGCATATCTTTATGATTAGGCTAAAATAAATTAGTATTTGCACTAAAGTTGCCAATATCAATCCACAATGTGAAAGGTGGTTATGTTATCTTTTATTTTTCTGTTTTATATGTAGGGCCTGGGTTCCAATAAATAATTGCTACCTCATGTCTAAAGAAATTCCTTTTTCTGTGAAAAAGACTAAAAGCATCTTCAATAGTGCAATGCAAGAAATGGAGGTTTATGTTGATAACATTCGAAGAAAATTTGGAGTATTTAATTACGCACCTTTCCGGACACCATATACTCCCAACAATCAATACCAAATGTTATTAGACCCTGCAAACCCAACTGCTGGAACTGCAAAGACAGACAAACAAGAGAAAATCAAACTGAACTTTGACATGACGGCATCACCCAAGATTCTAATGAGCAAGTCTATGCTGAGCAGTAGTACTGGTCGTAGGATTTCATTGACTGATATGCCACGGTCACCAATGAGTACAAACTCCTCGGTTCACACTGGATCTGATGTAGAACAGGATGCGGAGAAAAAAGCAACTTCCAGTCATTTTAGTGCCAGTGAAGAATCCATGGACTTTATTGAAAAAAATACAGGTAAAATTAAAAAAAGGGGGGTACAGGACTTTGTATTTGGTTAATGCACTAGTTTTATTCAATGTAGTTTTTAAAGACAGACTGTATAATGACTCGTTTTTAAAAAGAAATTTTAGGAAAAAAAGATGGTTTTATCTTTCAGTATCACAGATAAGAAATAACAGTCCTTTCTGTCGCATTGGGAAGGAATAAATAATCTTGAAAAGCAGCCAAAACTCTCTAGTTTAAATAGCAGGAAACAGTTGTAACTATCAAGATGAATGGAGATGGAAGTAAACACAAAAAGAGTTACAATTGTCATGATTAGGAAGTATTTGATTTAAAATTTTATAGCTCTTTTTCAAGCAATGACCTTAATTTATAGTGCTCCCATCTGAGTAGCTAAAATATGCTAAAACTACAATTCCATAGGCAGCGTGGATATAGAGAAAAAGGAGTGCAGGCGACTGAATTTGGACTTTGCAGGCTTATAATGAAGTCAAAGGCCAAATGGTAGCAAATTTTGTGGCGCTCACGCAGACTCCTTTATCTTAGTTTTATTCATCCCTAAAAGAAAGTTCATCACTATCTGCAAGAAATGGTGCAGTATATTCATTAAGTGAGTACTTTAAAACTTTGTTTTTGGTGAAAGGATGTCTTTGTGTAGAAAACTGAATCAATATGTCCCATTACAATTTTTAAATAAATAAATAACAGAATTTTATCTATCTATCTATCTGTTTATTTATTAATTTGTTATCTTACTCTTTCTAGCCAATAAAGGCTAGGCTGAGAAACTACCTTTTGGTACAAAAGTGTTTGTGATCTGATCCTGTCCATCTTAAGAAAACGATGACAAAGTAACTATGGATTTAAATATGTGAACATACTTGGATTTTTCAGTAGATTAACATGTCAAAAGGAACAATTCATTTTATACAAAAATTATCGTGTATTTATGTGTGTACAGCTCTCTTGTATAAAAGATGTAGCTAACAGGTAATGTTTCGTGTCTTAAAACGTAGAGCTTTTGTTATACCACGTTTTTGTTTCTTTATAGTAGTGGAGACATTTACGGAAAGTCACATTAAAGCTATTTTGTCAGATAAAGATAGAAGATGACAGATCTTATCCCAGTACTCTGGATTCTTGATTATCATAGCAATTCTGGGAAATTTTTCTTACTTTTTCTCTGGCCTTACTGTCCTCTTTCCTAGTGCATACAAATGCTGGATTGGATTGAACAGCAGTTAAACTAGAATATTCAGTTTCCCACCTGGCATTTCTACCTGTATATTGTTACAAATGATAACTTCTGTAGTATTTACTTTATGTATAAACTTAGCTGTCCTATACTGGAATCTGTGTATTTCAATTCAAATGTAAATTAAATTACTTGTTTGCTGTAAAAAGTAACTCAGGTAGTACGACTGCACTATCCTTAGACAAGAATGGTTTTATTTGGATGCTTCTGTTGTGTATTTTGAGTGATGTGTAGAAAATAACTTGGAAACAGTTACTGAAACAACAGATATTGCTACCGTTTGGGAATCTGAAAGTATATGGACAATCCTGGATGTACTGGGGAAGAAAAAGTGTCCAGTAGTGAGTTTAGGATGACATTTTCAGAGCATTAAGCAGAGATTTAACAGACAGAAATTGGTCTTTTGATTACAAAAATTAGTCTTTTTTTAGGTAATGGCCTGTAGATGCTTCCTTTTCTAGACTGTTTGTCTGTTTCTAGCAGTTTGTTTTTAAAACATTAATTTGTGGAGATTTTAAAGGCTCAGAGCATAGGATTTTGCTTAAACTCTGTGTAAATTAGAATATTGGGGATTTAAATTGTCAGAATTTTTTAACATCTCAAATAACCAAATCTCAAAGCTAGAAAGTTTGTCACTGCAAATGGAGTGGTTTTGAGGGTAAGCACACGTTTGGCCCAACTATATAGCTGCAATAAAATTATTTTCCATATGATTTCTTTCTTTCTTAAACTAAAATTAAAGAGATAGTTGTAACTTGCAATGGAGATATAACACAGCGTTGCAATTATTAAACAAAAATATTTCCCCTGCTTGTGTAGGTTTAAAAGCTGTTTTGTCCCAGTGAATACAGCTTTATTGCCATTATTTTCAAATCTTTCTTTATTAATTTTGTACTTTTTCAGCTTCTCCAGTGCCAACAAGAACGGGTCAAGCAGGGAGCTTGTCAGGCAGCCCCAAACCTTTCTCTCCTCAAGCATCAACGCCAATTTCTGCTAAGCAAGAAAGAACTTCTACTCCAGGAAGCATTCTGAATCTTAATCTTGGTTAGTCTTAACCTTTGAAATTCTAATATTCTTACAGCTGAACAAATTAGTGATGTCAGTGCAACACAATATGAACAAACTTGCTTGTATGTGGCTTTAAATGAACAAAGGACTTTAAATAAGGCATGTGTGTAATTATTGTTTCATCAAATATGCTGTTCTTTTTTTGCTTTATAAATGGAAGTTCCTGTTATTGTTTTTCCTTGTTCATGAAAGGAAGTAGTGAAAGGATGATTCATTTTTTTTTTAGCTGAACCGTACAAATGTATGTTTCTAAATAGTAGGTAAGTTTCTAAAGCTTGTGATTACATGAACACTGATGCTTTTTGCCTCTTAGTCTCAAGTGAGTTGCTGGCAAGGTTTTCTTGTGGTCTTTGGGATTTAGGATTTACTAGGGCTTCTTCTCTCTGCTGCCTTCACATCACCTCCTCACTGACCATCCCTCCCTAGGGAGATAGATGGATGAAAGGAATTAGCAGATGTCTTGAAAATCCCTAGAAGTAAATTTTGGGATTCTGGAATTTTGAAAGATGGAGTAGGTAAGTACTAAGTTGGTAAAATAGTTCTGAAAGTCAAACGGATGTAAATCAGTTTCCTCAGTCATGCTTGGTTCCTGTGAGTATTCTGATTCAGTTCTGGCTGCTTTTAACCTCCACCTAATATTACACAGAGAAACAGGATTCTGCCCTTGGTGTTAGCCCAATACTTCAAGAAGGCTTGAGCTCAAATGCTGAATTCACGTTTTCAGTGAATTGCAGATATTCTGATTCTGGATACAAGCTCACAAGTATGTTTTCCAGTGTGCTAATCTATCTGTGTGAACATAACCATAGAATTAATTTCTTCTGCTGTGCTGCAGCTGTTTGTTGCCTTATCTGAGGTGACAATGCATTTGGAAAAACGTTAAGAAATATGTAATGCTGCAGTAGTTTGAGCCACAGATGGGAGACATCAGCTGGAGCATAGAACATTTTGAATAAATAGCGTGGATCAGACAATCTGATGTTATGGTCCATGAGCAATACCATAAAAGAACAGCTAGTATGCTTTCAAGTAGAATATGAGTTATTTTTTCAGCTTTAGGAGATTTTCCTTTGGTGCTAGAAATAAAAATGGCAAGCCTTGTTCATTTAATAGTGTCACCTATGCCAGACGTAGATTCATCTGTGAATCCTGTGGTTTTCAGATATGACTTAGTGTGTCTCGTTGTCGTGCATAATGTGAACAGGTTTCTCTCTGAAAAAACAAAAGTGAAAGTCTGGGAAACAAAGACACTTACATACCTTGAGCAGAGTACTAGGAGAATTCTATGATTATACTCCAATTCAGCAATAAGGAAGGAAAAATAATGGAGATGAGTCATCTGTTGTTACTGGCAGACTGGCTAAATTGAAAAATGGAGGTGTGAATGACTAAGCCATATACAGGTTGCTTGGAAAAAATACATATTCCGGTTAGTATAGGATCTGTCCTTGTACAAGAGGCAGAAAAGATGGAACAAGAAGTTTGAACAAGTGAGGAGTGAAAATTTTCAGATCAGTAATGAGAAGAAGTAAAGACTTTGGTGATCAGAACTTGGAGATTTCTCCACAATGGGCTTGTCTGCTCTTTGGCTCTGTTTTCTTTTTACTAATACTTTGATATTAATGAGACAGATTGGAAATCCAGATCTCAGTGAGACCCGCTTGTAGGTTAAATAGAGAAATTTGGATGGTGAAACTTCTTTCGTATATTAAGATGTAGTGTTCCCTGGGGAGGCGTTACAGTGTCTTGACTTCATCTTCACCCATTGTCCATTTGTTCTTCTGTTTGTATTCTGCCGTGTAGTTAACTAAGGCTGTGAAGGGCTTGAATCAAATTCTGCTCTAAGGGTGATATAACCATTATTGCTGTGGAATTAGTGTGGATTGGGTGACGTAGATAGCACAGGAAGAAGAAACCTAGTTTAGTAAACATTTCCAATAAAAGGAACAAATTTTTCAAAAAGTACTTAAGTGACTTAGAACCTTCATTTTTATTTTCAAAATTTACGCTGCAGTGAAAGTGACAGAGTTTGTGTTATGTTTAGCCTCTTCCAGTAGGGATATGTGACATGAGCAGTGTGAAACTCGGTGTTACCTTTGTGACCGTTTCACTGGGACTGGAAAGGACGACTGGGTGTTGTTCAGACTGAATTTGTGTATGCTGTAATGCATACATAGTACAAGCCAGGATGATCCCAATTATAGCCTGTATATTTGGCTTGTGGGATTGCACCACACAAGTTGCTGCATCTGTCTAGGAAGAGATGAGGAAGTGCTATTTTAGCAGTAAACAAAACCTGCATAAATACTTGAATGGCTCCTCCTGTACCTCCTCTGTCTGTAGTACAGACTTTATTTGCAACGCAGCAAGAGAGAGAGTGGCCAAGCCTGACTGAGACAGCCGTAGTGCTGAGTCATTACGTACCATGGCTCTTCAGTTTTAAATGTGGAATGTACACATTGATACTAAGTTCAGACTTGTAAAGAGTGTCCGGTCAAAGGAATCATTGGCTCTGCTCTTTGTGTTTACTTCACTTTAACAAAAAACATCTTGTAAGTATATGTGGTGTTTGTTGGTTGTTTTTCTGTTGGGTTTTTTTTTTTTAGAAAAAGTAAAATAAGGCAATACTGTGACATCTTTAACAGCTGTGGATTGAAACTCTAAACAAAACACAAATGCACATTGTGCCAGTGTTGCCTCTGTCTTCGCCATGGCCTCTTTCCTTTTCCAGCATATGACATTGGCTCTTTTGATCCTACCGTGAGCCAGTTCAAGGAGATAAACTGGCCAAACCTAATTCTTCTTTCCATTCCTTCCTCTTTCTTCTTGTCCCCTTCCTCCTCCCCTGAACAAGCAACTAACTCCAGACTGGTTTAGTGCCCTGAGCACTAACAGAGCAAAGAGTAAAGGATAGGACTGTGGAACAGTAACATAACCTCTGAAATTGAAAAATTGAAGCAAAAACGTGAAACTTAATTGCTAAGACAGTTTTAGCTTTAGCACTGTAGTCTGTACTCTTTGCAGATAGATCTGTGTGTTTCAGAGTGAAAATTCTCTACATGTATAGAACTTAAGATTTTGCTGACAGAACTTGAAAAATTTATTATTATTTCATCTTAAATTTATTAATCTATCTAGTATAACAATCTGCATTTTTATTTCTATTGTCATGGCTTATCTTTAGAATTTTAAATGGTGACTATAAGGATTTTTATTCCTATTTTATTTTCTCTGTGAAAATATTACTACTGGTAATAAATAGCAGCAGTAGCTTATTAGAAGTGCTGTCAGCCGTCTCACAGACCTGAATGATGATTTCTAGATAAGAATCTATGATTCTGTGATGGTGTCACGTTGACAGAGAAAATGTCCACATAATTGATGCGTGCGTTCTGCATGTGAAATATGTAGTATCAGAATATCCAGTGCTTGTAATGAAGGAATTTTAGAATTATTACTTAGCATATAATTGTAAAATAAGTGAAATACGTTTCAGATTGTCTGCATTGTTACTCAGTAAAATTTGTCTTATCTGGATAGTGATCTCTTTACTTTTGTAAAATGCTTTTCTTAGTTCTTTTTTCTTTTTCTAGATCGTAGCAAAGCTGAGATGGATCTGAAAGAGTTGAGTGAGTCAGTCCAACAGCAGAGCACTCCTGTGCAACTCATTTCACCAAAACGACAGATACGTAGTAGGTTCCAGCTTAATCTTGACAAGACAATAGAGAGTTGTAAAGCACAACTTGGTAAGTATATCTCAGGAATACAATGGACATGGAAAGGGTACACTTAAGGAAATTTTGAATTGGAGTTTAAAAGAAGTTTTCGAATAGTAAAACCTTAAATATTTTATGCATTAAAACAAAAGCAGAGGATATTTGAACTCTTTGAGGCAAGTAGAATGCACTGAACTAATTTCATTTAAAATAGTGAGACCTGATGTTTCAAATTCTTATCAAAAAGCTTTCATCAGTTAACCTGTTTTTGTACCATTCTGATGTAGATAGTATGATAATACTCAATATTTGCTTTGTAAATTGAAAAATTCAAGAATTGTACTTGACTCATGCCAGTTGCACAAACCAGTATATCCAGTCACACAGGAGCTGAATGCTGTTACAAACACTACTGTTGTCTAGCACTTTAAATTAAAGGCTTTCTAGTCACTCAAAAAATTAGAGATTCTCCTCGTAAAATTTAGGCAGTCTAAAATTGGTTCTGTAAACACGCATGTAAGTAACTTTAATCAGGTGAACAGTGTTACTGATTTTCAGGTGGTTTCTTGTGGATAAAAATAATTCCTCTTTGTATTTGCCAGCATCGGTCCTAAGTTGAACAAAAGAGCTTGCAGATAGTGGGGAAAAAAGCAATGAAAGGAGAGTCATTGAATGAAATAAAAACACGAATTGGAATATGTGGAAGGTAATTCTTACACATTCTAGTATTGAGGTAGGGCTCTAAGGGAGTGTTTATAGCTTAAGGACTGACAGCTAAGATAATGGTATGTATACACTGTGTTCCAGTATGTAGAATATTTTTTTGTGGTAATGTCAGTCAGTCTAATGTCAGCATGAAATGTACTTTCCTCCCCACAATTAGGAATAAATGAAATATCTGAAGCTGTTTATACTGCAGTAGAACACAGTGACTCCGAAGATTCTGAAAAATCCGACACCAGTGACAGTGAATATAGTGATGAGGATCAGAAATCCAAGAACGATCAAGAAGATGGAGAGGACAAGGAAGGTACAAGAAGTGACAAAGAATCATTGAGCTTGAAAAAAAAACCTAAGCCCCCAGCACAGAATGAAGACAAGGAGGAACTTAAAAGCACAAGTCCAGAAGAGGAGAAAACAGATGACCCAATCAAAGAAAAGACAATTACAGACACTGAAAAAGAATTTTCTGAAAAGGGAAAAGGTTTACAGCATCCTGCAAAAGAAAAACTGAAAGGTAAAGATGAAACAGATTCTCCAACAGTGCATCTAGGACTGGACTCTGATTCTGAGAGTGAACTTGTCATCGATCTAGGAGATGATCATTGTGGCCGTGAAGGAAGGAAAAACAAGAAAGAATCTAAAGAATCTCCGCCTAAACAAGATGGTAGGATGAAATTTTTTCCTTTCATTTTTTATTTCTGTTCTTTAGGGCTGAAGCTAGAGTTATTGCCTTTATTTTTGCATTAAAATAAAAATATCTGTATTAAAACTATTTTTAGGAATGATTTTTCATTCTTTATGCCTAAGAAAAAAATTTTCAACCCCCATTATAGTTTCTAGTTTAAATAAAATATGTTTCATTAAGTTTCCTTTCAGCAGTGCAGAACTATGAATATCTGTAATATTTGTTCTGTGACAAATGCAGAACTTATTTTGCAATTGTTATGACTTTCAGTTAAATCTTTACATTTCCAGTGACCTCCCAAAATTGCAGGTGTAGAGGTAGTTGGAACTTGTCAAACATACAAATTGCATACAGTCCCATTGTCATCAATATAAATGCTCTCAGTAATAATGAGAAGAACAGCTAAATCACAGGTATTGTCCCTGAGATATTGTCCGTTTCTGCGTGTTGCTAAAAGAGGAAAACAATCTCAATGAGTAAAATACTTTTGCTAATCTTGTTCTGCATGTTAGCCTTGGGATAAAACAAAGCAGACAAACAGACTTAAGTGGTTAGATTGAAAAATATTTTATTCTTCATGTAACTTTCTTTTCTGGTCTATATTTTATAGCATGTTAATCATTTTACGTGAAATAATGTTTTCAATCAGTTAACTAAGCATACTTTAGAAGACAACTTAATGCTTCTGAATTTTGAATCTTAAAACGGTATTTAACAGATAAATGTTACTATGAGATAATCAAGAAAACAGGCTTATAAACTAAAAACAGAATTGTAATTTTGGGGAGTTTATATTGACTGATTCTTGTTTTATTTTAACCTTTGTTAAGCAAGGCAGCTTTATGAATTTCCAAACCATCAATTCATGTATTACTAGTGGCCTAAACCAGTGATGGTTGAAATAATAAGTAATCCTAAAAGTTTACTTTGATATAGAGGCAAAAGAATAATACATATTCTGAGTGAAATTAAAAGTGGATTTAAATGTTCATGTATATAGACCTATATGAATATATTGTAGACATAATTTGTGTCCTGTCCGTGATTCCAAGGCTCCTACCTTTACTTGTGGCTATCAGATATTAAAATGCCTTGGTCTGGAAAAGAGATCCAATACATGTCAATCTGAAGGTCTTCACCCCTTTCCAGAAGCTTGTCAGTGCAGCAGCCTTCTCTTTCAGATATGTTTTTCCTGGCCACAACTTTGGAAGGATCATCCTGTTCCTAAATTGATCTGATGTGTAGAACAGTCAACTACAAACTGTGGAAGTCTTTTGAGTAAACAGGGATATCTTAAATACAGTGTATAGTTTGTTGTCAGTTCGCCTTTTGTTAGAAAGGTTTTAGTACCTTGTTCCTTCAGTTATTATTCGGTCATTGTTCCTTTTGAATGTATTTTTCTCCTGAAAGAAATTGGGATGACAGGTGTAAGTGGTAACCCAGGAACATCCTAACAAATGCTAACCTCTCCCACGTCTTCTGAAGGAGGTCAGGTGGGTTTTCTGGGCTTTGCACTTTTTGTTTCGTTTTGCTAATGGCTGATGCTTCTGAACTGCCATAGACTCCAACTAGACTGAAATGAGTTGACTTGTAGAGTATCAATTACCTTTTGAGGAAGATAATTCAAAGTAGACTGGGAGGGGCATATGACTTCCAAAAATTAGATGGAAAGTTATCAGTCAGATTGTTGGTGAAAAGCTGGCATTACATTTTATGTTTGTTTAGTTGTAGGTAAAACTCCACCTTCCTCCTCCAGTGCGAGCACCCAGCCTCTACCAGAAACTCCAGTGCTTACCCGCTCTGCTTCCCAGACTCCACCAGCTGGAGTGACAGCAACTACTAGTGCTTCTTCTACTGTTAGTGCTCCATCTGCAGCCACTGGGAGCCCTGTGAAAAAGCAGAGGCCTTTGCTGCCTAAGGAAACTGCCCCTGCTGTGCAGCGCGTAGTGTGGAATTCTTCAAACAAATTTCAGACCTCTTCTCAGAAATGGCACATGCAGAAGGTGCAGAGACAGCAGCAGCAGCAGAGCCAGCAGTCGCAGTCACAGCAGCCTCAGTCCTCTCAAGGGACAAGATACCAGACAAGACAAGCAGTTAAAGGTACACACTTTCTAACTCAATGTGCCTGTGATGCCATAATTCCCCAGTAGTGATCTCAGTGCTCCAAGGCTGCCTTACCAGGAGTTCTTCCGTATAGACAAAATCTCAAAGTCTGGTTCTGCTCTGATAAGTGACTTTTAAAATACAACAACTTACTCACCATACCTGCACGTTCTGGTGTGTATTTAGAGTCGTGTCTCCTTATTTTAATGACAAAAAGTTTGTGTGTATATCTGTATAAATTTTTTTGCCATTCTTTGCCATCACAGATTTGGGAGAGTTAACTGAATTATTTTCTGGATCATATGATAAAACTATTAACTGTTCCACTTGCATGATTACCACTATATGTATCACCTCAATATCTACAAAACTGATCCAGTTTTATCTGACAAGATGCTGATCTGTACAGTTTTCCACAGGGTATAATTTGACAACAATGACATTACCTGGGGTACGTTTGTCTTTGAAATCCCTGTTGCTTAATCCTTAACAAGACTTTGATGCTGGTTTACTACGCAAACAGCCGTGGCACTTTGGAATGTTTTCACAATGATTTTCCTACCATCCTATTGCTGGGAGTTTTGCTAGTAGTAGGCACAGGGTAATACAAGCCCATGCTTCTATTGCTTCACTTGACAGAACAGCAGCTTCATGTAAGTCCAGCTTCTTTGGGAGTTTCAAGTTAATAAACTGAACTGTTTCCTGGTGTGCCTGATGAATCGATGTTCTCTCTTCTGCTAACACTGCTGGCAAGCCAGTAATTTCATACAGAAAAGAGGTGAAGGTAATGGGTCACATCCAAACAGCTACCAGAGGCACGTTTCTCTGGTGCCAAACTGCTTTTGTGGCTGTTGTTTCAGAGGTGTTGAAGAAGCAGTATCCTTCTACTTGTAGACTGCACAAATTCGGTACAGAAATATTCAGTGAGAAAAGTGTGAACCTTGGTGAAGTCTTATTTTTAATAGAATCGTACTTTAATAAAAGAGCTTAATGATACGGGCTGAATTTTAAATGTTCAGCCTATGAGTGTGTTTTGTCAATGTTAACTGTTGTTATGGCAATGTGACATCTTAAACATTATATTCTAGAAATATAGCGAATGAAAACTATATAATTAATCTACAGATATCTTATATACTGAATTGGCGTAACCAAAAATATAGTACAGAGATAAATTGAATAACTTTTTTATTTCAGTAATTCCTGTTTTGAGGATATTGGCAATGAAGACATCTTTTGTAATAGAAATCATTAGAAATAGATTGAAAAGTATTATCCTAAGGAAAATATTTTTTTAATAATATTTAAGGCAGATAAGTCATTAGGGATGAAAAGTTGAGGGTCTTTGCATTTTGATTTGTACCCTCATTTTTTAATTACTCACTGCTTAATATTATTTGAAATACTGACCAAAGATGAAAGAACTTTTCTTATCCTGTTTGAGTTAACACTATGAGTAACTTCTTTGCTTTAATGAGTTAATCTAATGTTGCATTCCTTGCTCTGCAGCCAAGCAAAGGTTAATGTTGATCTGGATATATGTATATTAAACGTATCACAACACTAATAATAATTAGTAGCATTAATAACAAAAGAATGGGAATAACACCAGGAAGTATTACTAAAACAGACTTCCTTCAACAGTGGCTCACTAAACCTTGTTTCAAAGCAAAAGGAAAAGAAATTCAATAATATATTTTAAAGTTATGGCAAATTAAAATGTCAAAGTCTAATTTATGCTCGTGTGTGATAATTGTTGGGATTTCTCCAAATTGGGAGGTTAGGAAGTCAGTTCCTAGGAATTGGGATGGAAAAGTTCCCAAATGGGAGGAACAGAGATCTGAAGGAGACTTCTGCATCGGCCAGTCTAAAATAATAAGTTTCAAAGATGTATTCACTTCATCACCTTTCAGCCTTACAATTACGTACAAGTTCAGTGGCTGGGCACTGTGTGATTAATTGATTAAATGGCGCCGTTGTATAACTGATGTAAGTCTCTGGCGGGGGGCACACGTTAAGGTTAGAAGCTTCCCATCGATTTTCGTAATTGCTTATGTGATTGATCTGCTGTATGTTCTCTTTTCTTAGCTGTGCAGCAAAAGGAGATCACCCAGAGCACTTCCACGTCCACGATAACCTTGGTTACAAGTACTCAGCCTATTTCTATGGTCACCAGTTCTGGATCTGCAAGTGCACTTTCTTCCTCCATTAATACAGACTTGCCGATTGCCACAGCTTCGGCGGACGTGGCTGCAGATATTGCTAAATACACTAGCAAAGTAAGTTCTGGAACAAAGTTTTCTTGACATTTCATTTTGAAGTGGACATTCACAGTTCGACGAGCTAAGTTGTTAAAAAGATGGTGGTGTGTAATATTTGTGTAATAACAGTGACAGTGAGGGACAGGACATTGGCTTTTCATATACTCTCTTAGATCTTTAAATTAAAAGAATCAAGATGAATATTATATAAGGAAACGAAGTTGAGTACCCAGGTGTTAAAAGCACCAGAATTAATCTTGACTATCAACTTTCAATGTTCTCACTCAACCATACGACCTTGGTGGGATTATCAGTAGTCAGCAATATCAGTAAATGTCTTTGGTTTAAATTTTCTTTTTTTTTTTTTTCATTGAGTTTCTTCCCCAAACTCATGGTTATATTTTTTTTGTTGTTCGTAAATTATATCAATGGCAATTTCTTGGAAAAGTAGGTCAGGTTCACCAGTTCAGGACACTTAAAAACCAGAGTCCTGATGAAAAATGTGTTCTACTTTCTAAATAGTTCTCTAAAAGTAGATCCAGATAAATAGAGAGAGAGATATGGGGCATTGTTGATAGTAATACAAGTTCACATTAGTGGTTGAAAGGAAGTGAAAGTGGGTATTTATTAAAACTATATTTCAAAGATTTTTTTTTTTCCTTCATTTTGTCTTTCAGATGATGGATGCCATCAAAGGAACAATGACTGAAATATATAATGATCTTTCAAAAAATACTACTGGAAGTACAATAGCTGAGGTTAGTATAAGATGAAAAAAAACCCAAACAATGCTACTTCTATTTTAACGTTGAAAGTTGTGAAGTAGTATTGTTGTGTGTAGAAGTACCATATAACTATACCTACAAGGTGTTCTAAATTGAGAGTGTCTACAGATCCTTGTTTCTGTCCTGTTTCAGAAGTAATGATTACAGAAACACACTGAAAAAAGATCAGCTGGGCTCTGTAAGATAAGCAGCAAGAACTGCAAGTCATCAAGCCCAGATCCTTAAAGCTTCTGTTGAGGATTGAATGTTGTATCACCTTTTTAAAAATCAGAAATTAAGTAGTTTTTTTGAAAGTATCATTTGTATTTGTCCATCAGAGGAAGAAGATTTGAAATTACTTGTAGTGCAGTAGCTTATTCCAGTTACGTCACGATGACCACGGTTTTTAATACTTATTAAAAATACTTTTCATCCTTTTTGCATTTTTAAATGAAATGCTACACATTGCTTTTAACTGCCTCCAAAGGCAGCACTTAGTATCTTTTAGGTGTTTTCTTTACACTTGGAAAAAGCAGATTAAGCAGTGTAAACTAAGTACAAATGTGAACAAACAAAGCTTAGATTTAAAAGTATGATGGTTCGTTTGCTTGTATTAACCAAAATAAGGAAGGCACAATTTTGAGCAATGATATTTGTATTCTTAATCCACAGGGATGAAAAAATGGCTTTCCTAAGCCTCAACTAGTTAAAAAAAAAAAGATAGTGAAATGTCATACTGATAAATGAAGCAAAACTGAGGAATAGTTTTTTGATTCCAGTCAGATAAATTTGAGACTCGACTAATTTCAGAGAAAGCAAGAGCAAGTTTAATAGAAATGCTTTTTGTTTTCAAACAATCTTGTACCTCGTATAGGAGGAAAATCTGGCAAACAAATATTTAGAATACTTCAGACTTTGGTTTGGGGTTCGCTGTGGTCTTGTCCTCATGTTAATATGAAGACGACTTGATGTAAGTCATGATCAGGCTCTTTGCTTTGGGCTCGTTTTTCTGTATGATAATGATGTATTATACACTGCACTCTGTTAATTATTGCTAACTGTTAAATTTTTAATATTTAGATTCGACGTTTGAGGATTGAGATAGAAAAACTTCAATGGTTACATCAACAGGAACTCTCAGAAATGAAGCATAACCTAGGTATGAAAATGGCAGTCCAAAATAGTGTCTCAGTCCAAATTCTTGCTGTATGTAGCATTGCCTTCATCACATGGTACCACAAATTGTCCAAACGAAGGACATAAAGCCTTATATAGTGTGCTGTACTGATGTTAGCAGACACCTTTTGAGGATGTACACAAAGTTACTGTGTGTAGTAAGCAACAGGTGTTCAGCCCTCTGAGACAAATTTAGGCCAAAGAGAGCTTTCGATAGGACAGAACAGCTCTTTATTTTATGCATCACTGGATAATCCGTTTTCATGAGATATTTTTTGCTGATTGCTTCATTCCTATTCTCATATGAGCCAGGTTCAGTTAATATAGACACTGGGGGAACCTGCTTCCTCTGGCGTCTTTGGAGATTGTGGCTGACATTTTGGTTCAGATCAGCTGTTGGTGTGTTTACTTCCTTCCTTATTTATTTATTTAAAGTGAATAGTCAACCCTGACTCAATCTTGATGCCAGACTGTCAGTGAAATGAATCCAAAATACTACCTTAAACAGGTAAAAGAATATTCCTCCTAGGAGGGGGATTTTCATCTCTATGTTCACTCAACCATATGAGCAGGAAATGAAACCATGATTAAAATGTGATTCCTCTTAAATTATCTTTATTTAATGCACTGACTTTGGAAGAAGGTTGCAATTTTTCTTTGTGAAAAAAAAAACCAAGATACAATGAACAACTGATTGACTGTTATTTATGAGAAAAGATAAGCAATATAATTATCTGTATTTTCTGAATATTGGAGCAGAACAGAAGTTTGGGCATGTGAAGACAAAACATGTTAGCAGCAGGTGCATGCATCCTTTTTGTGTTTATGCTGCACTTAGTACACCTGGATTCTGGTTCTTTGTGGGACATCTAGAACTCAAGTGTCAAAAGGAAGGTAACGGTTAAGGGTGAAAATCATTGTGCCGGAATAAGAAAAGAAGATGGAAGACTCTTGTTTATTGACTAGGTATGAAACGGAGATGCCCAAACTCAGGGAATATTTTCATTGCTAGTTTTAATTTCATGTTGTCTTTAAACTCTTGAAAATTATGGGTTCGCTCTTTGCTGTTGTGGGGTGGAAAACGCAGAACTCCTCTTCCTTTGTGTTTTGAGTAGAGCTGACGATGGCCGAAATGCGTCAGAGTCTGGAACAAGAGCGGGACCGTTTGATTGCGGAGGTGAAGAAGCAGCTGGAATTGGAGAAGCAGCAAGCGGTGGATGAAACTAAAAAGAAGCAGTGGTGTGCCAACTGCAAGAAAGAGGCCATTTTTTATTGCTGCTGGAATACGAGTTACTGTGACTATCCCTGCCAACAAGCTCACTGGCCGGAGCATATGAAATCTTGCACACAGTCAGGTAGTCTTCCTCGGGGTTTCGCAGCCGAGGGGGCTGGGGCGGGTGCCCAGCCACTCGGTCGTCTCCATCTGCACAGGTGCAGATGTGGTGTGAAGAGTGACTGTGGGCTGGTGCCCGCGAGTAGTGGCTACTTTCTCTTTTTTCCTTTGTTTTAGCTACCGCAACACAGCAAGAAACAGATACTGAAATTAGCACAGAAACATTAAATAAATCATCCCAGCCCAGTTCAAGTGTGCAGTCTGCACCCACAGAAACAGCCAGCACCCCTAAGGAAAAGGAAGGTTCAGCTGACAAAAGCAAAGAGAGCGTTACAGTAAGTATCGTTGTGGTCACTTCAAACAAAATTAATATGTAAGATTTCTCTGAAACCTGCCGCCCCTAAAGGCTTCCCTGGATCAGCCAGTAATTTATGACCATTTGCATATTTCAAAGAGTGTGATTTGGGGAGTGAGATAGGGAGTTCTGTTTTTTTTCCTTCATCTTGGCAAAAAAAATAATCTCCTTCTGTCCTCTGGGAACACCCTTTCCCCTGCATTCATTCCCAATAAAACCTCGTGTTGGCTTGACTCATCCTTCCAGCCAAAGGGGACTGGACCTCTTTCTCTCTCTCTCTCCAGGACCCATCAGTGTAGCTTCTGGTCTGGATCTTTCGATACAAGTTGCCTTCTGATAAGCAATACTGACTGCAGCACTTCCAAGCCCTTCTTGCCTGGGGGTTCAGAGGCCAAGCTCAAGACCTGCATTCAAATCAACTTACTTTATCACAACAGACTGCCACTAGGGTACCACAATGTTCCGTAACACTGATACAACACTTCACCTGGATCTACAGTTAACGGAGCAGTGCGCAGTTACGAAATCCTCCGTAGCATCTACTCTGATAGCATTCAGTAGGCAAGGATGAGCAAATGCTCTAATAAAAGGGACTTAACATTGCATATATAGAAATGTTTATAGAGGAGATTCTGCTTCATAGGTAGGGCTTGACTATTAGCGATTTCAGCATCATTTTTCTTCTGCCCTTGCAAGATTTATTAAATGAAAGATTTTAGGGGGGGGACTGATCCTTCAAACTCTTACACGTGATCCCCCACATCAGTAGGAGCCTCGTATTTTAAAATATTAAAAGCAAACTAATTTTGTAGTATTGTGATTCCAGCATGATGTCTCATCGAGATAGTCCTATAGAATTGGGAAGCATAGTAAACTAGAGGGCTGTGTTCATTTCTTGACACTTTTGCTACTGTCTGGTGTTAGATCTCTGGGCTTGACATGTCATCCAAGGGAGTGACTTGGGAAACAGATGCGAAGAGAGAAAAAGGATGTGCTGTTCCACCTGAATGCTTTGGTGAAGATAGTTAAACTCTGGCTTGGTCAATGTTCACGTGCGTTGTCTGTGGCAGCACAACCTTTGTATTACTGGGGAAACAGGGCATGGGAGAAAATCAATTGCCTAAAACTTTTGCCAGGGAATGTTTAAGTTGCACAAATCTGGAATTGCTTTCACTTAGATGTTCTACCTGAAACATCATGCTGCGTATACATTGATCATGTTCATAATTCGAGTTTTGTTTTATTAACAAAGAAGTAACCTGTGAATTCATTAAGATACAAATTTTTAACACAAACAAAACATCCAACATAAATTTCATATAATAATAACACTAGGTGGAATTTATGTAAAAGCTGAGACTTCTACTGAGGTTGCCTGTGCTGTCTCTGCAGATAGCAACAGGTGTGACAAGCAACCAGCCTATAAAACTGGTCCAGGTACCGCAGACCACCACCTATATTCCAACTACTCAGCCCACAATTGTAAGTACAACATCATCATTTAAAGTCTGCAGTAGAGCTGTTCCTGGCGTTAAAATTGCTCAGTGTTTCTGGGGGGTTGTCTCCATCTGCTGTTCTATCGAGATATGAATTCACTGGTATAGTCTCAGCTTGCAGTGCAAAATGCCTTATTTTGCTGGGCAACATTCCACCCTTTCATCTCATTATTTGTTATTGTAAGGATTCAGGAATTGTCATTAAGCACAGCGAAGGCACTGAGGGCAGTCAGGCTTCCACTTTACATTATTATGTCAGTTATTTGTCTGTTTCATGTACATACTTGACCACAACATCAATGTAAATATATAGAATTCATTTAAATATCTTTTAAATATCTTTTTTGCCTATGGTATCCTGAAGAGATTTAATTGATTCTGAGCTGTGCTTGATATTCCTGTGACATGTCAGTAGTATGAAAGAAAATACACATTCATCAGTAGCGTGTCTCCCATGCAGCCTTACACATTCAGCATTACAAGAAATGGCATTGGAATCAGACCTGGGTTTTTCCATCAAAGAGTTAACCAAGGGCATTTGAATTCCCTAGGGTCAGTCAGGGGAGGTCAGAGAGAAGTGAGCTCGTTTTTTGTGGTTTATGCACCATAATATCCTCTTCTTTCAACTGGTCGTGTCCTGCAGCGCTCACGTCAGAGTCAGCGCAGCGGCTGAGCTGACGTTCACCTTAGCGAGGCGAATATGCCGATACGGCGCTGGAAACGGAACGGCACGCTCGGGATCAGTGCCTGGAGAAAAGCCTGTGTGTAGGTAACTTCAGCTCGTTTTCTGACTGAAGTTAGATAATTTATAGTAGTGGCTGTGTGCTCATTTAGCAGTGTGCCTAATCACGCTGTGACGGCGAGGCTCGATTTGCTGTAGGAGTTATTCTGTCCCTCGTGCACAGACGCGCACGTGTGCGTGTGCACGTCCCGCCCCAGCGGCAGGGCACGAGCCGCTGTGTGTCTGTGAACACACGCGCAGGCACACGCACCCACAGCACTCCATGGCCATTCTATCCCACACAAACGTTACTGCTCTGAGTGGGGAGCATGACTTTTCACATTCCTGGCAGCGTTTCCACTCGGCTCGCTCTGTCTCCCTGAGAGCACCGTGCACCTTTGCAACACTGGCCCTAAGCTGATGGGACTGAACTGCCGTAACAAGGTTCTATATGTGTTTTAAAATCAAACATCAAAGACATTAGGCTCTTTGGTGAACAGCTGAGAGGTGGTAAGATCATAAGGTGGTTTTATGTCATATTCTGAAAAAAGGCAGTTACCTTCATCGGTTTCTGTAACATGAAGTGTGTTAAGTCATGTAAAGCGTAATCGGAACGTCGGGAAGGTTTCAGCCTTTATTTGTGCATGTTTGAAGCTTTGTACACATTCGCATTAGTCTTGCACAGCTACAGACACCTCTGTGTTCTAATGACTGCACGTGCAATTTAAATAATTTTAAACCTTAGTGCATGTTTAATATGTATGCAAGATGTACATATGTGTAAAACTGGCAGAGGTGGAAAATTTACCTCTCAGGGAATGATCTTAACACATTTAAGGAGTCTCACACATTCCATATCCTGATCACTATGAGAACTGAAACGTATTTTTTCCATTTGTTTAAGTGTATATATTTAAGAGGCGAGTGTGGCAACCTTAATTTCCCCACCTGTAGTACTAACAGTGACTTAAATAATGGCTTATTTAGGGTTCAATTTGCACTTTGTTTCCAACTAAGAATTTTTTCCTCTGAAAAACTTCCAGCATATCTTCTGGGTACCGTTTCCACTGAACCCCCTATACACATCTGAAATCATTACAAAATGGCAGTAATCTTGAATTCATGTAGCAAATCGGTTCCGTGTTTGGTTTTTATTCTTTCTGCAGTTAAAATAATGTAAAAATATGAATTTGTCTTTGCATTCCAGGGAATGGAATGAGTAGGCTTCTGGAAGGCATAGACTTTGTCTCGGAGGAGCTAATGAACACTCTAGGCTGTAACCCATCTCAGCAGGGATACTGGCAGTCCTTGTTAAATACCATTGAGATGCGAATGTCATTTCTTGAAACAGTGTGGGGAAACATTTGGCTTCGGTGAACTTGCATTTCTTTTTCCATGTTCTCTTTGGAGTGTCACACTACCATCAGGGGGAAGATCAGTGCATCCCTTTCAGATTCCTCAAAATCTCTCTTCCTGTTTCTTCCACTAAATGTTGTGAACTGAAACGGATGCGTTTGATCGCCAGTCGCGCATCGCCAGAACTGCCTCAAAACGTACTTGCAGTTTGTCTGGTATTGGGCATTTCTAGACTTTCTCACATTTTCGGAGGAAGGCTAAGATACAGACTTACGATTCAATAAATCCTTTTACAGATCTTCCAAAGTGATGTGACCGTGACCAGATTGTTTAACATTCTTGTGCCTTTGTCTCTGCATCTGTAGAATGAATTACCACCTACAGAGATGTCCTGAAGCTTCATTTGTTGAGATTTATAAATCATGATCTGTATGATGGAAGTGAAGAGTTTATTCTATATTACTATTTTTACAGGGTGTGTAAGAGTTCCCAGTAATGCTGATGTTTTTGTTATTGATTTGTGCAGAAGTTAACTCGAGTACTTCTTTGTTCAAACGGGTGTTCTTTGTTCTCTTCTGTGTAGACTAAACGCATGGGGGAGTTGCTTTTGGGGAAGAAGATTTCAGTAATGTGTACCAAGAATATACTTATAAACAAGGGTATTTTTGTACTCCAGTTTGATCTGACAAAACTTTTTCAAATGACAAAGGATTTTCTTAGCCCTTTTTCCTCTTCCCATGCATTAGTTTGGGGAAAATACATAACTGGACGTAACTATGAAACCTAACTCTCCAAGCACAGAGTGTGTACAGCACCTGTAGGACCACCTGTCCCTGTTACTATAGAGTAGTAATAATAGTACGGAGGAACTCTCGGCTATAGGAAAGTTACACACTACTTTCTACCCTGGACTGAGGTAATACTGCAGTAATAAAGGTATTAATTCTTGCCCCAAATTGGAACTTGTTCTGGATTTTCCCTGGAAAATAGATCTCTATTTCTGTGGTCATGTTTATGTGACCTTTAACATAACAATATGTTTCTCTTGGTTTTAATCCACAGACCATTCCTGTAGTGGTAAGTCCTTCTGCTGGGACAGTGGCAATGAGAACTGGAGTTCAGTATGTTCAGACCACAATGCCAGTCCAAGTACGAAGAGTCTAACTGCTAACAAGAAGTCCATACAATTGTTGGAATAAATAAATCTAATAGAAATGTGAGAAATAAACACAGTTCTTTGGATTAACCTCAAAGGTTCAGACTTTAGCTTTGTATACGTGTACAAAGCACTAACTACACTACATTAACGTAAAGCATTAGTGCTGGCTTAGAAAAGCTGAGGACAGGTAAGATCCATATTAAATCTATGCTTCTTTTGTAAATAATGTACAATTTGTGGATGTCATTAGAGTACCATCTCCTTTTTATATTTGTATTGACTTTAACTTATAAAGAGCATTTGAAGTTGGAAAAGGAAGGTTTAAAACAGCCTTATCACAAGCTAACACTGAGAACTGGTCTTGGAAAACGGCAGTTACGCATCAAATAATAGAATCATGAGAATCTGAACAACTCGATTTGCATTTGGATTGAAAAAATTTCTGCACTTTGAAACTCTTGTAGAATTTCTTCGAGCAACCAAATGATGAAGGGTATCTTTTTTCAGTTAATTGTATTAGGCAAATTATGACATTTCCAACCTGTGGACCTGAAATACTGAAAGATTTACATTGTTTTTTACAATGACCAGACTGTTAAAATTTGTATTGTTTACAGGTTACAATTAAGTTAAAATTTCCTCCAGTCTAATATCAGAAAAGTTGGGAAGTGTAATACCAGCCGGTTGTAGCATGATTTCTGATCACTGATATCAAAGATTGAGAACAGTAAAGTTTTTTCCTATGCTTCACAGTTCAGTTTTTTTTTCTAAAATCCTCCAAAAAGGACTTGGAAAAGCTTTTTGAACGGAACAAGAGTGAGGTGCGGGGAAAAACATGGATTGGGAAACATGGGCAAAGGACTTTTGATGCTGGGCCAGAGCATGTATTATTTATATGATGGAATTTATGTTTTTATGTAAGCATGAAACTACAGTATGAGAGAGAGTAACCCCTGCGGATGCCGTCTGTTACACTTATACTGTCGTACCATTTTGTATGTTGTGTAAAACGAAAGCATTGAACAAAGCAAAGGTGATGTATGTATATGAGAAAATTAATTGTATGATATCATTCCAGTACATTCTGTTGTACATTTTAGTCATGTTGGTTTCTCCCATTGTTTATAAAAGAACGCGGTTTGTACAGTCTCCAGCTAGTACCCATATTAGAGGGAAAGAAGTATTAGAAGAAAAGAAGTCAGAACAGAATATTCGTGAATTGCAGTTGTGTCAAAAATAGCCTAGCTGGCCTTATTTGTGAAGCATAATTGCTTTTAGCATATGGAAGTATTTTTTCACATTTTCTTTGTATAAAATTTGTATTAAACTTAAATATCTTTTTTGACAATTGTGTTTCTTTGTGACTAAGGCAGGTGACACACACAATATGCTTTGGGTTTCTCCAGTTTTTCAAGAAACTTCACAATTTTTTTATTAAACTGTTTTAGAAAAATGTTCTGTGTTCCTGGATTTCCAGTTTCCTTTCCATCTGGATGAATGTTCATTTCTGCACAGCCTCCAGATCATAGATACTTTCACTTATGTTGGGATCTTCTGTCTCAGAAGTGTGGCACCTTGGAATCCAAGCCTGTCAAATCTGAGAAAAACCAAAGCAGCGTTGGCAGTGTGTAAATAAGAAGCCATTTATGTAAAAAGCTTGTTCGCATCCGTTTTCCCTCAGTTTTAGCAGCACTAAAGGTCCACTGCTTGTTGCGTGGCGTTTACGCGTGGGTCGGATTGAGGCTGGACCGATACACACAGTCTCGCTAGATGTATCTGCGGGTTAGAAATGGGGACGTTCATGACGAGTGCGGTCACGAGCTGGGCAGGAGTGCTGTGTGTGTCGTCATCATCCGTCGGAAGGAAGCGGGAGCTAATGGGATAGCTCTTGCCAGATCTTATGGTGAATATTGCCTTAAAGTTCTACTCCTGTAGGTACTTTGCTACGTGCATTTTAAAACAACTGAAGTTAATGTTCCCAGCGCTACTGCTGAAAGAAAAGCACAAGTTTCAAAAGCTCCAAATGATGTTTTGGCCTTCCTCATGGGATCGGAATGCTGGTACCACTGAAATGAGCTCTTGTGGAAAAAGGAGAGATGAACAAGTCAAAAATGGTTATAGGAAGCCATACTGCTTTCTGAAGCCTGTTTCAACCTATGTTGTTTTTTTTTTTCTTTTAATGGGCATTGTTTTTTCTATAAAAGTTGTTTTCTCTCTTCGTGAGAAACAATAGGTGACCAAATCCTAGTAAAGATTTATATAAACATAAAATAATAACTCTCAACGAGAGTTATCAGGTCAAGGTCAAAGTATCATCTTGGATGTTCTGGGGACTGTATTTTTTCCACGTTTTAGCTAGTTACTGTACAAAGTTCATTGTTTTTCTGAAGATTATTTTGTGTTAACCAAAATGAAGGAAGAACACATCTCTGGCCTGGCCATTATGGGAGGAGAAGACAATGATGTGATACAAATTTAAAAGACGGGCTGCAACTTTATTTAATGTATGACTGAATGCCATGACTAGGCATGAGGTGCATCCATCGCTTGTGTCATGTATCCTTTGTTTATTTCGGATCCAAGTGTTTTGGGAAAAGTTACTGGGCTGGGTCTGGAATTTTTACCTCTTTCTGATGGTGAAAGGTTCATCGGTGGTGGTACCTGACTCAATCCTGTATTGAATACGGGTCTGGTTGGCTGTCCTTACGCTGTCTAGAAAAGGGTGATGCCAGTGATCAGGTGTTGAGTTGAGGGGGGCCAGGTGGTAGTAAATTAAATAACAAAAAGCCTCTTTGGCCATATAACATCCTGGGAAAACTTGTTTTCACCCTTCAGCTACAGGCACTGGGTGTCCCTCGGGTTTGCCATCCTCTGTTACAACCTACTGAAAGACATGTGGGTGTATTACTGCTGATTTCTCTGCTTTTGGGGACAAAATTAACTTGTCTTGGAGTTTGAGCTTAGAAATCTCAATATTATTCTCTTCCACTGTCATGTGGGCCTCCAGTTAGGAAGAAAGAAGGGAGATTGACCCTGGTGTTCCCTCCTGGGCCAGTCAACTCCAGAGCTTTACCGAGCGGTGGCAGTGTTTTCCCAGTTTAGTGTTACTTGAGGAAGGCAGGAGCTGATACTGCATTCGAGGTGCTCTGAGGTTTTATTTTGGCCCCGGACGTGGTGTGATCTGGATGGAGTTTACCGTAGCAAGGTTTCATCGCAGAAGCCTGACGTTGGCATAGGAATGTGAGGAGCAGATGTTGGACCAGTGCCACACGGCCTGGCTGCAGGGAGGTGGTTATGTTCAAACTGGGACTTTGTGGGCTGGCTACAAACGCCTTTTCAGTGCTGAAATCCCAGCAATGTAAGTGGTTAAATCGCAGAGGAAGGAGCAGCCAAGAGGAATGGGTCTGTCCAGAGCCACAGGATGCCGTTTTTTGCCCTCCTCAGCACAGATGTGTCCATTTAGAGGGGCTGCTGCAGGTTCTGCTACCCATGCTCAGGCAAGGCCACCCTACAGCCCACGGAATGCCAGGATTTTCACCCTTCACATAGAAAGGTAGAACCACGGGACCAAAGTCCCTCTAAACAGTTGCCCTTTCTTGGTGAATTGTAGCGGCTGTTTTTTTAAATGACTGTACTGCTGCACCTTAACTGAAGGCGTTTTAGAAACAATGAGACTTGTACTTTTCTTCCCTTTTAAAAAATCATTTTTTATACAAAATACTGCTTGAGTACTTGCCCAGCATTAGCTCTGCTGTGCTTGCCTCATCTGTCCAGTTGTGTTTCTCACAGGAAAATGGCTAAATGCTGAGAATTTGGCTTTGTTTACCCAATGCTCATCAGGTAAGACGGCTGTGACTCCAGAATTTTGACATGGGCCTCACAAACCAAGATTTTGTCAGGCAGCTGCCTGGGGAGGGTTGAGGTGTTGGCATCCCGCTTTGTGGGGCGCACTGTGGAGCCCGGCTGGGCTCCGGTGGTTGGACGGGACAAGTGCAGGAAAACGCACTACAGGAAATGGTTAAAACAGCGCAATTACAATGTGTTCTTCCATCCCCAACGAGGACGTGTATTTTTGCAAGTATTTTCTTTGCAGTTTCCTGGTTATTTGAAAAAATGCTGTATCCTGTTGCTGCATCTGAACTAGCCGAAGCTGGGCATGGCCCAAGTGTGATTTTTGTCACAGCTGTTTTCAGAAACGGTTCTGCTTTAACAGAACGACTAGAAGTTTGAGGACAGAAGCCCAAGAAGACAATCTCTTTTGGCGCAGCCATCTCAATGGTTTTTTGGTTGTTAAAAGCTATATTTACTTTGTGTTGTGCTCCACGACGTGCTGGAAGTGGCAGCTGAAAGCAGATAGGTGGAGAGATCCTAAGAGTAATGTTAACGTGGGGAGAAAAAAAAAGTGTTTTGCTTCTGGCCTTCACCAGAAGAGGCTGCGGGAGTGTGTAGCTACAAGTGTGTAGCTTCTTTTGTTACTTCTTATTTTAAGAGTTCAGTAAGTTTCCTGTTCTCAGGATAAAAGGCCTTCACAACTGAATTTGCTAGTGCTCTCTTCTCATTTTTCAACAACACAGCTGAAACTCGGGAAAAGGTAAAGAATCTCCAGGTTTTGTTCTACTCACATTTTACATATTGAAATAAACGGTATGTTTGTTATCAAACTTTGCTAAAAATAAACTATTATCTTCTTATTTAGAATCCTGGCATGTAAGAAAACCTTATGGTGAAAGTGGAAAAGAAAGGATGCTGAAAATATTACAAACTTTGCACAGTACCTTATAAGTCTGTTGAATATTATTAGATTCAAAACTCTGGTCACGCTGAAGTGAACTAAAACTTCAGGGATAAAACCTTGGCTCTGATGAAGCCTACAGTATTACTTAAGAACAATTCCACTAAGTGAGGAAGATCCTTACCTGACAGAGAAGAGATGACGGAGAAACACCAGAAGAGAAGGAAAAGGTAACACAGAAATATTAAACACTCCTAGGAAAAGTGAGAAGAA